ATGGTATCCCGACTTCAAATCCAACTTACAAAACTACTTCACGCCGCCCAATCACTCAAGCAGATCGTCAATGCGAGGAAGCGGCCCCGCATTCTTAACGGTTTGCGCGTTGAGTTTGTGATAGTCGATGCACAATCGTAGATCTTTGTTCTTCTTCCGTACGAAGAGAACTGGCACTCCGTACGGAGAGCTACTAGGGCGGATTCAGCCCTTGTCCAACAAATCATCGCGTTGCGCGCGGAGGACCGTAAGCCCCTCCTCACTCATGCGATAAATGCAACCTTTCGAGGGCACGGCACCGGCCTCGAGAAAGATCTTGTGAGAGATCGGTCGATCCGACACCACATCGGTAGGTGACTCGAAGATGTCGGCAAGCTCGTCAAGCAACCGCACCACACGAGGGTCCGAAGACAAGTCCGTGGGTGAAGAGTCCGCTACCGCAACGGTCCGTAGGAAGCATAGGCTGATTTCGTTCGGCTGCTCGTAAGCACAAGTAGCCCGGAATGGTTTGGTCGTCACCACCTGGCACCGAATCAAAGGGTGCAGAAGAGGAATAGTACACGACACTTCGGCGCCGAAGGCGTCCCGAACGGTAAGAGTCTGTCGGTGGAAGTTGACCGTGTGATCCGCACTGCAAGCCAAGGCATTCCCAAAATAATGTCAGAGTCCATGTCCAAAACATCAAATGTCACCGGTTCGCATGCATGAGGTGTGAAATACACCAGCACGGCCTCGATGTAACGATCGATAAGCTGCTGCGTCCTTCCGTCCGCCAACTTGATCGCCGTCGGGTTTGCCTTCCTTCGAACTTGTGCGCCAAGGCTAGCCTTTTGCATAAAGGCCTGTCTCATAAAATTGCGAAACGCGCCACTATCCAGCAAAGCGCTGCAGGACGCTTGCCCAACTTGGATGCGAACAAAGAGGAGCGGTGAGTTGTTGTCATCGTACCGCTGCTTGCAAAACGCGCGGGCCACCTTCGTAACATACGCAAGGATGGCCCCCACCGTGACTTTGACATCCGTCGGCGAAGTTGGGGGTGCATACAAGGATAAGTACGTGTGAAGTTAAGTGCATAATGTTGCGCATTGCGGTCCCGGCAAGCGGCCCGTGGTCGGGAGAGGAAGCCATGCGAAATCCTCGGACATGAGCGGGTCCAACTCGCGTGCCGAATCCCGTGAAGAACCGCTTGAAGACAATAAGTTGCCATTGCCGGACGGAGAAGATGCCACACACACATCTTGTCCTTAAGCATGAGTACCCAGCGTAGGAACGAGCCGGGCAGCATAGTCCTCGAAAGAATAAAGAAGAGGACTATCGACTTTCGCATGTGCCTCGGAACAAAGGGCGGTCACCCGCGAAGTGACCGGTTCCGAAGACATCGAGAGTGTCGTCGAGTCACTCCCGACGGTGCTCAAATTCCCGATTTCCCTTTGCATTTCGACTGGCGGGCCATTGTGTCATGGAGATCGTTGTTACACCACAGACAATAGCGGAATCTCGTGTGTGCCTTGTACACTTGCTCGGAGAGACCGTAATGGGACTATAGGGCTGGAGCTGCTGCGTCGGGTCCGGGGCTAGATGCGGTGTTTGTCTTCGCCTTGCCGTGTCCTCGGCCTTCGCCGAGGCGGCCACCATCCCGGGAGGCTGCGAGTCTGTCCCCTTCATTGGCAAACACGACCTCGCTAGTTTGGTCATTTGGCATTGCCACCACGACCATGGCCACTTTCGACCGATGCTGATCTCTGCTCAGGCCTGGTGCAGACGAACGCTGGAGATTCTTGGCCTCCTTGCTCGTGACAATAATCTGCGCGGCCTTGTCGAAGAGTTTTGTCAGTGTCGTCAGGGCGTCCTCGACGTGCGTCAAGGCATTTCCAACTTCGGACACGACCTCGAGATGAAGTAGTGTTTGATGGCTTTAAAGCCCATTTGGATGTCTGGGACGGATGTCAAGCGTTGGTACTCGGCAATCCAATCAACACTCCGCAGCACGCCTTGCTCGAAGACCATCAGCTTATCCATTGCCTTGATCTCCGATGGCTCTACTTGGAACCACTTATACCACGGCGCCTTTAGATCCCCCCAGCTGATCTTCGTATGCAAGTCGGCAACCACCACTCCATACTTGGACAGGACACTGTCCAACCATGCTTTGCATGCGCCCCCCGAGCGGGAGTATAAGTATGCATGATGTTTGTGCTCGCTGACGTAGTGTAGCTGCAATGTGAGCTCGAACTTGCGGAACCATGAAATCGGGTCCATCTTCGTCGAGTCGCAAAAGATCTCCTACCCATCGAACTTCGGAGTTGTCTTGCGCGGTTCCGAGCTCGAGTGGTTGGCGGCAATACAGATCCACTGCTCCAACTGTTGCGTTGCGGTTTGCTGTAACTGCACGCCGTCCTTGAGGGATCCAACGTCGATCTCCAATGCCTCGAGGCGATCGAAGGTGTCGGAAGAGTTGGTAACGGGGGCGGCGACGGTTTGTTCCAGCTGCTAGAGGCGGCTCGTGATTTGATCACACACCTGATTGTGTGTCTGAACCGCGTCGTCGAGGTTGTGAATGTCCTCCTGCTGTGCAATGCACGTGGCCAGGAGGTTTGTGAGATGCGATAGTAGGGCGATCTTGTTTCCACTCTCTTCCAACTTCCCATGCTCGGCCTCAGTCTGCCAGTCCGCTGCCATTGTGAGCAAAGCTCGCTCTCCGCTGAATATCTTCTCACGTCGTTGAAGTCATTCTTCATTGACAGCCTTTGTTGCTGCCTCGTCTTGCTGGCGCTGCTGTTCAATTGCCAACAGACGTGTCTTCTCGGCGTCCTCTGCCTTCTTCTTTGCTGCGGCTGCTACTGCATCCGACTGTTGCTTGGCTTCGGTAATCAGAAGCAGCATCCGGGCTTGATATGCCTCATCCGTTTCCCCGGACTACTGAACCATGACGGCTGTTTGTGAGCACGTGAGCATGGACAAGGCTGGGGGCCTGCTGACGTGGCACTGCTTGCTGTTGACGTGGCTGCTGACGTGTCCTACTGACGTGGCCTGCTGACGTGCCAAATCACCAATGCCGCCGCAGGGGGTACCCGGAGACAGATAGAGAAGGTAAGACCAGAGGGGGCAATAACATAGGTGGGGAGGGGTGGGTGGGGATAAATCGCCAAGATAAGGAGCCACTAATCAAAAAAGAAAAGTTTGAACTTTGCAAAAAAAAAAATCGAGGAAATAAAAAAATCCCGACTTTTGCAAGTTCTGTAGGTCTCCCAACCTCCCTTGAAGTGCGAAATTATCAATGAGAAAAAAATTTCGAACTTTCAGACTGCGAATAATTACTAGGTAGTGAAAATCATAGAACGGAGAATAAAGAAATCTTGAAAAAAAGTTAACCAGTATTCGGACTTACTCAGATGACAGTATTCGCAGTTTGGAAAATTGTACTGCAAGAGGGATTTCCCATACCGCTTTGAAAAATAAATGGGTTTCAAAAAATATATTTTGAACTTCCAAATACGAGAAATTGCAAAAGGAAATCGAAATTTTCAAAAAAAAAGATATTTCGGATTTTCTGGCAACGAAATTTTGAATTTTCAAAAGAAAAACGAAAACAAAAATTTCATATGTTGCGCTATTGCGATTTTCCACAACAAAAATAGCGAAAAAAACAAAATCCAAAAAAAGGAAAAAAAAAAGATTTTCGACAGTGAGGTCAAAATCGTGATTTTGGGGGCTAACTAGTGTGCTCTAATCAATCAATCAAGACTAATCAGCTACCTAGTCCTCGCACACATGTCAGATCAGGTTGTCCTGATTCACGTGCGGTGTTCCGATACCAACTGTTGCATGCCCAGTTGGGCGATGTACATATAAACCAAGGATCCACAATGTGATGAAAAGGACTGGATGGACAATGCACTGCAACTGAAATCTCAACAAGCAGTGTACATCCTGATACATACAAAATGGTGCTTTGCAGCGCAGTGGAAGACATAGGTACAAGTCCAGACCTGACCGGGACTGACCTCTTTTGCGTAGTACAAGATATCGCAGCAAAATACTAGAATATTAATGCCTAGCCCAATCAATGTTACAACGTAGACCAAACATACAACATTCTCACCACACGGTGTGAAGGGAGCCTGGCGCTATACACAAGAAGAGGCGCCAGGTCCAGCTCATGCACAAACAAAGAGGAGGGGATCAAACGGCGAAGAGGAAGGGAGAGATGGGAAAGTTGTCAACACCAAGTCTCGTTACAAGTCCCAAATAATCCCTCGTCAAAATGTCTGAAGTCCAATGTCGAGTTTGGATCCAAATGTCACCAAGCTCTCCCTCTCTCTCTCATAGTCCGCTCATGCAGTGAAGTCAGATAACGAGAGGGTGAGAGGGAGATGGTGGACTGAGAAGAGGAAGAAGAACTCTCTCTCTCTTGTATGCCAGGTAGTAACCTGTGAAGGTGGCGTGGTGTTGCAGGTACCTCGAAGTCGAAGGTGGAGCGATGGCGCTGCAGGTAAGTCCCTTTGGCCTCCCCAATCTTTCTCTCTATAGTACTACTCTAGCTGCTATGGCGCCCAACGTTGAAGACTACAGCTAACGCTACTAGCGCCCAGCGCTGAAGACTACTGCTAACGCTACTAGTACTACTACAGCGCTCCTCTAGAGTGCTGCTGCCGAATCGTAAAGACTACCTCCTACCTCCTGAACTGCATGTGAAATGACTGGGAAGTACCTAGGAACTACCTACCGGCCTGCAGGGCGGGCCAGTCCTATATAGTGGTGGCCCGTCCAAGAGGCTACTCTTGCCAATGCCGAAACGTGCCAAACCCTGGCGTTGAAGCTTAACAAGGGGTTGTCTTGAAAACAGGCCTGAAATGGTCTGTGCTAAAACCCTGGTTTGTTGCCTAAGTTTCAGGGCGGGTCGAACTGATGAGGGCCTGAAAACGGCCCTCATTTTCAAGCTGAAAATACTCAGGGTCGAAAAGGCGCTGATTTAGCCTGAAACGACACAGGGCCTGTAGGCCCTTGTTTTCAAGCTTTCAAGTTGAAACGACACAGGGCCTGTAGGCCCTTGTTTTCAGGCTTTTGGCCTAAAAACGTTACGGGCCTAAAATGAGGCCCGTGCAGCCTGTTGCAGGCGCAGCATGTAACAACAGCCTCGATGACGCGGATCAGACGCACAACCAGGCGTTAGCTCAACTCAACAGCCGCTTCCAGCAGCTGGAGCAACGACCCGTTGCCGCCCCCAATGCCAGCTCCTCCAACACCTTCGATCGCCTCAATGCATTGGAGATCGACGTCGGAGCCCTCAAGGACGACACGCAGCTACAGCAAACCGCCATGCAACAATTGGAGCAGCGGATCTATGCTGCCGCCGCCAACCCGAGTTCGGCACCGCGAGAGACGACTCCAAGGTTCGATTATGAAGAGATCTTCTGCGATTCGACGAAAACGGACCCAATTTCGTGGTTCCGCAAATTCGAGTTCAAGTTGCAGTTGCGCCACATCAGCGAGGACAAGCATCACGCGTACTTATACTCCCGCTCGGGGGGCGCGTGCCAAGCATGGTTGGAGAATCTCTTGTCCAAGTACGGGGTTGTAGCTGCCGACTTGTACACCAAGATCAGCTGGGATGATCTAAAGGCGGTGTGGCATAAGCGGTTCCAAGTAGAGCTATCGGAGATTAAGGCAATGGACAAGTTGATGACCTTCAAACAAGGCACGCTGTCGAATGTTGACTGGAGTGCCGAGTACCAACGCTTGACATCCGCCCAAGGCATTCAGATGGGCTTCAAGATCGTCAAACACTACTTCATTTCGAGGTCGTGTCCGGAGTTGGGCAACGCCTTGACTCACGTCGAGGACACCCTGACGACAACGGCGGAGCTCTTCAACAAGGCCGTGCAGATCATTGTCACAAACAAGGAGGCCAAGAACCTCAACCGTTCGTTTGCGGCAGGTCCGAGCAGAGATCACCATCGGCCGAAAGTGGAAGTGGTCTCGGCGGCAACGCCAACCGGCCAATCTAGCGAGGCCGTGTCTGCCAATGAAGGGGACAGACTCGCAGCCGCCCGGGATGGTGAGGACACGGCAAGCCGAAGACAAACACCACATTTATCCCCGAGCTAGGCACAGCAGCTCCAGCCCCATGGTCCCACTACAGTCTCTCGGGGCAAGCATACAAGCAACGCACGAGAATCTGCTATTGTTTGATGTGTAACAACGATCTCCACAACACAGTGGGCTGCCCGTTGAAAGACAAAGCCAAATCGGGAAGTTGAGCACCGCTGGGAGTGAATCGACGACACTCTCGACGCATTCGGAACCAGTCGCTTAGCGGGTGGCCGCCCTTCGTTTTAAGGCACATGCGGAAGTCGATAGTCCTCCTCTTTTATATTTTTATGACTATGCTGCCCGGCTCGTTCCGACGTTGGGTACTCATGCTCAAGGACAAGACGTGTGTGCGACATCTTCTCCGTCCGACAGCGGCGACTTACCATCTTCAAATGGTTCTTCACGGGATTCGACGCGCGAGTTCAACACAGAGGTCTTGGACCCGCTCACGTCCGAGGATTTCGCATGGCTTTCTCTCCTGACCACAGACCGCTTGCCAAGACCGCAATGCGCAACATTATGCGCTCATCTCCACACGTATCTATCCTTCTATGCACCACCAACTTCGTCAACGGATGACGAACCTGCGGTGGGGACATCCTTGCGTATATTACCAAGGTGACCCACGAGTTTCGCAAGCAGCGGTACGCTGACAACAATGCACCGCTCCTCTATGTCCTCATCCAAATTGGGTAAGTGTCCTGCAACGCTTTGCTGGATAATGACGCATCTCGCAATTTCATGAGCCAAGCCTTTATACAAAGGGCTGGCCTTAGCGCACAAGTTCGGAGGAAAGCACACCCGACGGCGCTCAAGTTGGCGGACGGAAGGACGCGGCAACTTATTGACATCTACATCGAGGCCGTGCCGGTGTATTTCGCACCTCGTGCATGTGAACCGGTGACATTCGACATTTTGGACACGGACTTCGATTCCGGCGCCGAAGTGTCGTGTACTATTCCTCTTCCGCACCCTTCGATTCCGTGCCAAGTGGTGACGGCCAAGTTGTTCCGGGCTACTTGCGCTAACGAGCAGCCCGACGAGAAAGGCCTATGCTTCCTACGGACTGTCGTGGTAGCAAACTCTTCACCCACGGACTTGTCTTCGGACCCCCGCGTGGTGTGGTTACTTTATGAGTTCGCAGACATCTTCAAGTCACCTACCGGTGTGGTGTCGGATCGGCCGATCTCTCACGAGATCATTCTTAAAACCGGTGTCGTGCCGCCGAAAGGCTGCATTTACCGCATGAGCGAAGAGGAGCTTACGGTCCTCCGCGCGCAACTCGATGACTTGTTGGACAAGGACTGGATTCGCCCTAGTCGCTCCCCATATAGAGCGTCAGTTCTCTTCATACGGAAGAAGAACAAGGATCTACGATTGTGTATCGACTACCACAAGCTCAACGCGCAAACTGTCAAGAATGCGGGGCCTCTTCCTCGTATAGACGATCTCCTTGAGCGATTGGGTGGCGCGAAGTACTTTTCTAAGTTGGATTTGAAGTCGGGATACCATCATATTTCGATCCGGTCGAACGATCGCTATAACTCCACATTCAAGACGCGGTATGGGCATTTTGAGTGGGTGGTCATGCCTTTTGGCCTCACCAACGCCCCAGCGACCTTTCAGGCGGCAATGACTAGCGAGTTCCGTGCGATGTTAGACCGGTTCATGCTGGTCTACTTAGACGACATCCTCGTCTATAGCCAGACATTGGAGGATCATCTTGAGCACTTTCGATGAGTGTTAGAGACGCTCTGACGCGCCAAGTACAAAGCCAACTGCAACAAGTGCAAATTTGTCCGGCAAGAGCTAGAATACTTGGGCCATTTTGTCACATCGGAGGGCATCACTCCGTTGCCGGACAAGATTCAAGCCATCCAAGAGTGGCCGGAGTTGTGGAACGTCACAGATGTTCGTTCGTTCCTTGACCTTGCCGACTACTGCCAACGTTTCATCAATGGATACTCGGAAGATCGTGGCCCACTTGACCAAGCTTCAATGCGAGGACCTCTCGTTTGACTTCGGAGAGGATGTGCGGGAATCATTTTTGGCTCTCAAAGCCACGCTACTATTTGCGGCGGTCTTACGAATCTATGACCCGCTATTGCCAACGCGCGTCACTACGGATGCGTCCGACTATGGCATTCGTGTCATCCTCAAACAACACGATGGCGTGGACTGGCACCCGGTCAAGTACTTCACCAAGAAAGTGCCCGTCGTGCATTCCATTGATGATGCACGCAAGAAGGAGCTCCTAGCCTTCCTCCACGCGCTCAAGCGGTGGCAGCACTCCTCCTTGGTTGAAGTCAATTTCGAAGGGTAACGGACAACAATCCGTTGGTCTTCTACACGACCCGAGACACTGTCGATAACACCATCGCCCGTTGGATGGCTTTTATCGACCAATTCAACTTCTTTCCCGATCACATTTCAGGGAAGTCTGACCATTTTGCGGATGCTCTTTCACGACGTCCGGATCATTGTACCGCAGCCTATTCAACCTTCGAGATCGACGACGACCTGCGGGACAGCTTCATCCGCGGCTACCAAGCTGACCCCGACTTTTGCGACAAGTACGTGAATTGCTCCTCTCCTAATCGGCGCCTTCTCACTACCGGATCCAAGAGGAGTACTTGCGCATCCACACACGGGGGAAAGACCACCTTTGCGTACCGAGTGACTCTCACTTGCGAACACGGCTTCTTGCCGAGTTCCATGATGCTCACGCCACCGGTGAGCGACCGACTCACCAAGTTCGTCATGTTTTTGCCTTGTCGCTATCATGCCAAGGCACCGGAGTTGGCCGAGGTTCTTTACGTCGGTTGGATTCGAACCAAGGGTTACCCCAAGGAAATCGTCTGCGACCGCAAACACTCGGTTCATGTCCAATTTTTGGTTGGCGCTCATCAAACGATGGGGCTCATCTCCCAAGCCAAGTTCGGCTCCCACCCCCAAACCAATGGCCAAACGGAGAGGGCGCATCAGACCGCACAGGTTCTCCTTCGCACTCTCATCCGTCCCGACCAAAAGGATTGGGTTGAGCGGTTGCCTGATGTCGAGTTGCCATACAACTCGTCCATCCACCCAACTATCGAGATGTCGCCTTTCGAGTTCGAGCACGGCTCGCCGGTCACTTCTCAGTTGGACACAATCATTCCACGAGAGGGCAAGAGCGACGACCATCTTCTTTTCTTGCGTCGGATGCAAAAGCTATTTGTCAAAGCACGCGACCAAATGGCTAAGACGTAGCAACGCATGAGCCAACAGGCCAATCACCAGCGTCTTCCTTACCCATTCCGCGTCGGCGATCTCGTTTGGGTTTCCGCCGCGGAGTTCAGCCTCGAACAAGATATCTCTTGCAAGTTCCTCCCGAAATGGATGGGGCCCTGGCCGATCGTGGCACCCGCTGGGGATTGAACCGAAGGACCTTCCTTCACCATTCAGGTGCCCGCCCACTTGCCCGTCTACCCGGTCTATCATTGCTCCAAGTTGGCTCTTTACACTCGAGCGGAACATGACGATTTTCCCGAGTAACGATCGCAAATCCACCCTCTATGGACGGTTTTCAAGAGGCCGGCGCCATCATCTCCCGCCGACACTACGGCAACAGGCCGACCGAATACTTGGTACACTTTGCGCACTACACCCGCAAAGCCGACCGTTGGTTGACCCGTGGGGAACTCCAAGCAACAGCTCCAGATGTTCTCGCACGCTACGAACGCAAGATGCAAGGCAAGTTGACATCTCCGGCTCCACGTTCCACCCGCGTCCAGGTTCCACCTTCAAACCACCAGCTTCGCCCTCGACCCAGCTTCGACTTCATAAGGAGGGGGGGGTGTTACATGTTGCGCCTGCAACAGGCTGCACGGGCCATTTTCAGGCTCATGTCGTTTTCAGCCTGAAAGCTTGAAAACAAGGGCCTACAGGTCCCGTGTCGTTTCAGCCTGAAAGCCCGAAAACAAGGGCCTACAGGCCCTGTGTCGTTTCAGCCTAAAACAGGACCCTCCAGGCCCTGAGTCTTTTCAGCCTGAAATAGAGGGCCATTTTCAGGCCCTCATAAGATCGACCTCCCCTGAAACGTAGGCACCAGACCAGGGTTTTAGCACAGGCCATTTTAGGCATGTTTTCAAGACGACCTTTGATTGAGCTTCAACGCCAGGGTCTGGAGTGTTTTGGCATTGGCAAAAGCAGCCACCTGGACGGGCTAGCACTATATAGGACTGGCCCACCCTGCAGGCTGCAGGTAGTTCATAGGGACTTCCCAGGCACTTCACGTGCAGTTCGGGAGGCAGGAGGTAGTCTTCAGGATTCGGTAGCAGCACTCTGGAGGAGCGCTCAAGTAGTAGTAGTAGTAGCGTTAGCAGTAGCCTTCAGCGCTGGGCGCTAGTAGGAGCTAGAGTAGTACTAGAGAGAGAGAGATTGGGCGAAGGCCAGGGAGACTTACCTGCAGCGCCATAGCTCCAGCTTCGTCTCCGAGGTACCTGCAGTATGGCGCCGCCTTCAGAGGTCAGTACCTGGCACATGAGAGAGAGAGAGAGAGTTCTTCTTCTTCCTCTTCTCAGTGCACCATCTCCCTCTCACCCTCTCGCTACCTGACTTCACTGCATCCGCAGACTACGAGAGAGCGGGCTTGGTGACATTTGGATCCAAACTCGACATTGGGCTTCAGACATTTGACGAGGGATTATCTGGGAATTGTGACGAAGACTTGGTGTTGACGACATTCCCATCTTCCCTCTTCTTCCTCGTTTGATCCCCTCCTCTTCATTTGTGTATGGTCTGGACCTGGCCCATTCTTCCTGTGTGTAGCGCCAGGCCCCTTCACACCTTGTGATGAGGGTGATGCATGTTTGGTCTGTATTGCAACATTGATTGGGCTAGTCATTGGTATTCCAGCATTTTGCTGCGCTGTCTTGTACTACGTGAGAGAGGTAAGTCCCAATCAGGTCAGGCTTATATCCAAGTCTTCCCCTGCGCTATAACATGCGATTTTTGTATGCATCAGGATGTACACTGCTTGTTGAGATTCCAAAGCACTGCATTGTCCATTCAGTCCTTTTCATCACATTGCGGATCCTTGGCTATATAGCTACATCGCCCAACTGAGCATGTAACTCTCTCTCTCTCTCTCTCTCTCTCTCTCTCTCTCTCTCTCTCTCTCTCTC